TGGTAGGGGCGGTGCTTGTGGCGGTAGAGGAGAGAGGAGAAGGTGGCAGCGGCAGGGGAACGGGGGAGCAATCTAGGCGCCTATTGTGGGAGGTCGGGAGGGGGAGCGATTGGGGAGGAAAACGCGAGGCGGAGACGATTGTGAGTGTTGGATTTCACGCAGATATTCTGAACCGTTACACGAGGAATGAAAGAATGAGTGATGAGTGAAACTATTTGTTGAACTATAGGGTAGATATAGGGTAGAAAAATTGATTTGGTTGATAGAAAGAACCACCCAAGTACTCAATACAAATAGAAAATTGCATCAATTGTTCAGTATTTACAGCGAAACCTAAATCTACAGGAAATAGCAGCCTCGATCTGCCATGGAGAAACTTTTCCAATATATTTCCATTAAGTTAGGCAGTAGGCACTTAGGCTAGCAAAATGAATACAAGATTCCAACTAATCAATTTCTGAAATAACATGGTGTTTAGAAATGTTAATCCTAATTTTAGTGTCGTTCTACTTACCCTGAAGAGATCCTGGTCGATGTCAACGATCATCACGGCCATGTACAGGATGGGGACAAGGCTCTTGGAGGCGGTCTTCCTCCTCTCATTGGCAATGCGAACCCCAGTCCTACACCCTCCAACTCCTACACTGAGTGGGCATCACGCCGCCAGCAGCATTACATTAGTATATAATATGCATCACACCAGATTACTAAGTTTCAAATCAGAACAATTCTGTTACAGATTTTGTTAAAAAATTTAGCGCTGATTAGGAAGAGTTATTATTCATTGAATGGTGATAAATAAATATGGCCACAAAAACTCCTTGGTACTTCAATAGTGCTACAGAAATGCATCAAAAGGGATGTTTCACACCTTATCACGGATTTCCCAGTTACCCTCATATCAAGTAATCAACCATATACAGCCAGTGATCTGCAAATTTATATCAACCGTATACAGCCAATGATATACAAATTGCAAACTTGCACACATTCAGAGAACCAACCTGGAATAGCAATCTGCCTATCTTCATTGAGATTTGAGATATTGATCACGCAGGAACCGCTGTATCTGAATAGAAAGAGCCAGGTTCAGTTCCACCGACTGCAAGCAAAAGTAGCAAAAACTGATCACGACCTGCTGCATATATGGTACTAAATTCACCAAAACAGAAAGGAAAACTGCAGCACAGTAGTATTCATTAAGCATGATATCCATTCCTGTGCAGTATGAAAAAAAATTCTAGAGCTCATAACAGATGGTCAACATATAAAACCACTCACATTTGTTGTGGCTTGGATTAAGAGTGTAACCTGAAATTATAGTGTCAGGTTTCAAGAAAATTACCAGCACAACTGGTGCCCATTGCAATCTGTCAATTTCTTCACCTACAAATTTTCCTCGCTTCCCTTTCTCCTCGACACAAGCCTGATATAGAACAAATAAATTGACATACTTTTAGTAAAAGAATTGTAGCAGCCACATCGAACAGTAAACTGGGGGAGGTTAGGTTTGATTTCGCTAGACAACTCTAGATCTTACAACACATCATGAGCTTGCAAATAAGGAGAGTGGTTGCTAAAGCGACAAACCATAAGAAATATCAATGTTGCAGTGCTGATCAATTTATTTTCACTCCTTGCTGCAAATCATCTAAAAACCTAGACTACCATCATATTACCTGAAGATGAATTATTGCGAGCTGAAGAACATGGAAAATTCTGGTATGCAATCCAAAGATGTCAATCCTGACATGAAAAAGGAAAATGATCATATCACCAGAGGCTCGTCATATCACACCATCCTCAATTTTAAGTCGACCAATCTCATATTATTTGCAATTGACTGAAACCTCTGCATGAATTCATTATTTTTGTCTCTCTTTTCCTTATGGCTATCAAGCAACCATCAGAGACCCACTGCAGTCCCATTTTAAGTATTTAACATTTAAGAAAACATATGGAATAAGTTTAGTAGAGTAAAATGGAAGATTGAGACAACATCTTCTGAATAATTAATTGTGCCAAATATAAGCCCATCCTCCTACCATTCTACTAAAAAAAATTTGACTGCCAATAACCAAAATGCTAACTACTAAAAAAATCCATCCAGTATGTGAAGCTTCTAAATTTTTCCTTATGCTACCTTGCAAAACTATAGTATAGAGTTTCTGGCAAGAAAATTGGTTCCCAGGTCATCAACAAACAGGCCACTGAAGAAAGATTGTTCATAAATAAATTTCGCCCATTAATAACTGAAGCAGGACAATTATGCTATAATATTTTCCTGAAGTGTGCATTGCTGTAATTTTTGCCAATATTGCTCTAATTTCGGAGCAGTAGAATTTGTTATATGCAGTAACTGTGAATGATTCGGGAAGGAGAATATTTTATTGTCACACTGTTATACCCATGTACAAGAAGATGCTAGGTTGATTTGTATTTATTCCAAAAGGGAAGAATCACTTATTATCAACCAAACGAAGTCATAGAAAACTCCTAATCTAGTACAGTTCACTATCAACTCCATGGTGCATTCAATAGACTGAACTATCTTCTATTTTTTGAATGTGACAGAACCAAATTGGGAAAACACAATTCTACTGTGATCCGAGACAAGCTCAATGAGATACCTAGTCATGCCGTGGTTTGTCAAGGGCAAACAACCAAAGCTAAAAATTCAGCACACAAATTTCCTAAACCAAGAACCTATACCAACGTCAAGCACCAGCTTTAACTGTTGGAGCAACCAGTCCAGCTACTCTAATGACAGAAAGATTAGATAATTCTGAACAATGTGAACCCAAATGGCATGTAATTCTAAACATATATACATTAGCACAACTTGGAAAGAAAAAAATGAATCGATCATTGGCTATCTCAGGCTAGATCAAGTCCTAATAATTTGTAGTCATGGATATGAACGGGATGAAAACATTGATTTTATTTGCACAGTTTGTACTACACTTTAACCATGAGAAAAACAAACACCTTGGAGGAACTTGACAACACTTCAATTTCATCATCTTCTACCTGGCGACGGGAGGGCTTCCGGCGGGCGGGGATCGGTGGCGGCGCCGGTTGTTTGGGGGGGGTGGCGGCGCCGGAGACCTTCGGGGCGGGGAGACGATGGTTAGGGTTGGGAATCGCGAGGGTGAGGAGATGCGAGTGGCGGCGGGGCACGAGACTGACCTGCGGGGAGACGCTGGCGAGGGCGAGCCAGCGGCGCGACGGCGGCGATGGGGATCGGGCGAGCCGGCGGCGCGACGGCGGCGATGGGGATCGGGCGAGCCATCGGCGGGGATCGGTGGCAGCGAGGAATAGCTCGGCGCGGAAGGCGTCGGCGGCGACGTGAATCCTGGACGACGACGGCGATGGGGATCGGTTGAGGGCGACGGATGTGACGACGGTGATGGGGATCGGTTGAGGGCGAGCCGGCGGCGGGGATCGGTGGCGGGGAGACGACGGATGCGACAACGGCGGAGCGGCGGCAGCCGAGGGCGGCGGTGACGGCGGTGGCGCGGGGATCGGTGGCGGCGAGATGACGGATGCGACGACGGCGGAGCGGCGGCAGTCGAGGGCAGCGGCGATTGTGGTGGCGCCGCGTCCCGCGTGAGAGGGAGAGATTAGGGTGCGGCGGCGCGTGAGAGCGAGAAAGAGGGGGCGGAGAGGAGGGCGCAATCGAGGGAGGTGGGAGCGATCTGGACCGTTGAGATTTGACCAAGATGATCCTGACCGTTCTATGAGGAATGAAAGAATGAATGATGAGTGAAACCAATTGGTAGATTATAGGGTAGTTAGATATAGAGTAGATAACTAGCAGCGCCGGTGCTAATTAGGGTGAACTACTCGTGTGAGGGGTGTGGGGCACGCGCAAGAATGCTAATGGGCGATTAGTCGCGTGCACCCTCCCCGCGCGATTAGACACGTGTCGCGCGCAGAGAGGGGGGCGCAGGCGGCGGCGGGGCGCACGGTTTTTTTTTTCTGCATAGTTTCCTTTCTTTTAGTTTTTTCTGTTTTTTTCTTTTCGCGTTTTTTTTGTTATTTTGGCGCAAGGTTTTTTTTCTATCTTTTCTTTCCATATCTTTTTAGTTTTTTTCGGTTTTTTAAAACGTACGTATAAAACCTTTATATACACGTATACAAAGTTTGTATATGTGTTTTTCATATGTACATATACAAAATTTGTATATATATATTTTGAATTTTGTATATATGTACATATTTTTTTACATAAAAATATATATATACAATATATATACACACACATATATATATACTTTATATATATATATATATATATATATATATATATATATATATATATATATATATATATATATATATATATATATATATATATATATATATATATGATACCCATATGGGACTCCATGGTGCTCGGGCTCCAAGGTATAAAACACACAAATTCTCTCAAATTTTTAAAAATTTTTAAATTGTGAGTATATACCTAGGTATATTAGGTATATGAATTTGATTCATACAAATACCTAACAACAAAATAACTCAAACTCAACTTTATTTCACAATTCATTATTACATACCTAACGAATTATATGTTTAAATGTTATATACCTAGAACCAAAATCTAAAAAACTTGTTAGTAAAGAAGTTAATGTTCATATCTAAACATTTAAAAAACTTTCATACTCATTCAAATTAGGTATATTCTCAATTTGAATTTTGGAACCCATACTCTATGTAGCACCAGTTAATTTACCTATATATACACATATATACTTTATATACATACGTATGTATATAAAGTATATACATACATATATGCATGCATGCAGGAGAGACTAATCGGTCAAAACTGACCGCGCGCCATGTGGGGGGCGTGACCGATCACCAATCAGCGCCTTCCGGGCACGCGCGGCTACGTGAGTTAAGCAGTCGGCACGAAATTTTCGCCACAGTTTTCATTCCTTGTTATATATGTAGACGAAGATTTTATGCATATAAGGAATAGTCAAGCAGCAATGTACTACTAGACATAATCTTTTCGCATAAGGTAACTCGAAGATTTATTTGATGCATTTCTATTTTCCTTTTTTTTCTCAACACCAATTTTTCTCACTTTCCTTCTCCAAGGTTTAGGAAAGGAGAATAATCGGAGACCCCAAAGATTTCGGTCCTCGATTTGTAGGATATCTTACACCGTTTTCTCTTTCCTTTTTGTATTCTTCGATCCTATCAAGATTTCATATTCTCAAAATGTATATATATTCCATTGGAGAAGCAGCCCTTGCAAGAAACGAGCACGAAGCAGCAGCCATCGCCGCCGCCTCCCGCAGATTCGTGTTTCTTGGTCGACGACGGTGATGGTGCATCCGCTGGGGAGGACGAGTATGGGGCGGCAGCGCATCGAGATCCGCCGCATCGACAACAAGGAAAGGCGGCAGGTCACCTTCACCAAGCGGAGGGGCGGGCTGTTCAAGAAGGCGTCGGAGCTCGCCCTGCTCACCGGCGCGAGCGTCGCCGTCGTTGTCTTCTCCCCTGCCAAGCACGTCTACGCCTTCGGCCACCCGTCCGTCGACGCCGTTCTCCGCTCATACGCCTCCGTCCCCGGGGAGGCCGCCGCGGTCGCACCCGTCCCCGTCCACGGCGGCAGCGGCGGCGAGGACGTCGACCTCCTCGGGCTGAGGCTGGCGGCAGATGATACCGGGGCGCAGGTCGCGGCGGAGCATGCGCGGATGCGCGACGTCGCGGCGAGGATCGTGCAGGCGAAGGCCGGGAGGCGGTTCTGGTGGGAGGCCGACGTGGACGCGCTCGGGGAGGCCGAGTTGCTGGAGTTCTTCACGGCGCTCAAGAAGCTCAGGGACAACGTCGGCCGCCACGCCAACGCCCTGCTCGCCCCCCAGCCGCCGCCGCTTCCGCTGCAGCAGAAGCAGCGGCGCCGGCGGTAGGAGGGCCGCTCGCCGCCTCGCGGCGTCGCTAGCTTCTTTTAATTACATACCTTAGAGCAAATACAATAGCAGGCTATAAGCCAATTATAAACATATTTTAATAAGATAATAGAGAAGAGAGAGTAGCAGTGGGCTACAGATGTAGCCAGCTGCAGTAAGGACTTCAAGATGAGGTGTGTGTATGATAAGTGGACCAGGTATTAATAGTATAGAAAGCACCTATTGTATGAATTAACTATTAAATTGGCTATAAATAAATTTAAGCTAGTAGTGGGCTATACTATTGAACTTACTCTAATCAGGTTTAGCGCCTGCATAATCATGTACGTAATTAGTGCTACAATGGGTGAAATGCTCAACTTTTTTCTCGTTCGTCTTTCTTTCTCTCGACATTATAATTCAGTAGATAAGTGGAGGGAGACATGATGATATGCTGCTACCTCCTTGAGAGTACTAGAAATTTTGACGATTCTTGTGTGGAGTCTTGAATGGAATTACTAGTAACCAGTCTCCTTGATTTCCACATCCAATTTGATATGTAATTGTGTATCCTGAGAGCAAATTTCTAGATGTTAGGATGATTTTTTGCAGGCACTTTGATTTGCCCAAATTCCAGCTCTGGTATACACATAATTCATTTTGATATAGGTATTTTTTTTTTCGAGGACATTTTGATATAGGTATTTGAAATCCCTGACGTGAACTCGAGGAGCAAGATTTGTTCATAAGGATGTGTTATTTAGATGGTGTTGAGAGCTAGTCTATTCCCGCACGTAAAACGGAGCAACTCATCTACCCTATAGTTGAACAAAAGGTTTTATTACTCACTAGTAATGTGCCCGTACTACGCTACGGTGATATTAGTAATGACGATATAGGTATAACATGACATATGTGTGGGTGCACATGATAATCAAATTCTCACAAATTGGCACAAATTGGCATAGAAGGTTCTCCACTATAAGTTATTTTATGAGACAACCACAAATGATAAAAAAAAATACTGAACGTACATAAAAATGATATGATAATGAGGTTTATTTAATCACCGATATCTTCTTATATAGTCTTAATAATCTACTGAAATGCTCACATTTGCTGAAAAAGGGAATTACTAATCAAAAATAAATTAAAAATATATTAAAGAGCCTTTACAAACACATGGTCGGTGGGTTGTAAATATTCCATCCAGCTCAAGCATTTTAAGTGAAATATGGTTTGTGATTTTAAAAAAATGTAACATGCATCTATACTGCACAACAGACTCAAATCATAGTATACATTAAGTGTTATCTCCAAACAAGATGGTTAGCGGTCTCGGTGGCAGAGTAAGATGCAGAGCAAGGTTATAGCTCCTTCAAAAAGACTATCTATACAAAAAAGAATCACAAATTTCAGATATGCATATTCATATTGTCCACTAAATTTTTTGCTTACAACTATGATTCTTCCGTCACCATCGCAGTCACCATCGCATTGGAGCAGAAAAGAAAGTGCAGCATATGCCTAAAACCTTGTTGTACTACTTCATCAAAAGTTATTGTTGTTGACTTCGATAATCCAGAGTTCCCATCTTCTCCCCTTCTTGTATTGCATTGCATAATCTCGCATAGACCATAGTAGATATGTTCCGTCTTCTTCCATTCTTGTGCCAACTCCTAAATTTTCAACAAACCTTGCTGTAACACTTTGCTCTAGAAGTCCTTCTAAAGACTCATCTTTTTTGTCACTGGGAACCCACAACAGCTCTTTGATTGGCACACTTTTCTATTATCACTTTCTACCTGCATACTTACAACACCCAACTAATTACCACTTATCAGAACAGCTGGTAATAGCAGTGTACTGTTAGTTTATTAACCAATTATTTTTCTGCAAATGGTAGCACAGTGCTTAAAATACTGAAAATTTAGCATATTGTGTATATAGGATTAATTAGAAGCACATTAGATTTAATAGACAATACTGGAACCTGTGGCAAAAAGGAGTTAATTTGACAAACCCTTTTCTTTTCATGTGCATAAAAGATATCTGTGGAAGATAATTTGTTCTGGTTTGTCCTCTTACTTTATATCAGATTATTACTAATTTGTCTCTGCAATAATGTAGTAGCCAGATTTTAGAGATATACAGGCAGGGTGCTGAAATGGCACAAATCTCTAAATAGAGCAATCATATTGTATACACCTGATAAATTTGTCCTCAATATTCTTTACATAAATTTTATTCAGTTTCAGGGACATGTTCAAGTTCAGAGAATCATTAAGAGCTTGTTTTCAGCCGTAAATTCAGATTTCAGACACATCCAAAATGATCTGATTTTATTCTTTTACTTAAAAATTCACTTTGGAAGCATATTTTGTGCTATAAAAATCAATTAAAAGGTTGAAGGACAACGAGCGAGGACAGCTAGCAAACCTCAGCTCAGCTCAATTGACCCGACTTCATGCATCAACGGCCAAGCAATTACTCCTAAATTTGTACATGAACCTGCTTGTTCTGATGAGGAGTAGGCTCCATGAAAGCTGAACTTGATGCCCACCTATCTGAGACCTATCCAGCACATGGATGGTATCTTGATCTTCACCAGATGACCTGAAAATACAATAATACAACCAAAGCAACAAAAGATCAGGACAAATATGTATTAGGTAAAGATGGTTAGCAAAGAAACCATGAAGGATTTATTAACCAGCTGTTCAAGCACAACTTCATACAAAATTGTAATATAAAAAGCATGAACTTCCTAAATAATCTTCTTTGTACCAAGCAGTCCTGAAAGTTCCAAATTGACTGGTCTCTATCTAAGAGATGGAAGGGCAGAGCTTTTTTATGGTTTTCATCTTTTCATAAGATCAGCTAAAAAAGCTCAGTGTTGCATAGATATATAAAGATAACCTAAAGAGATACAAATAATTCTTGGTCATGAGGGCACGAGTCTACCATCATAGGCAGTAGTCCATAGAGATGATCATTTAGATAAATAATTCATTGGAATAAATAAAAATACAAAATCATAAATCAAGCCTGCTCTCCAGGGACAAATAATCTGGTAAATTTATAAGACGTAAAGAAGCATGTGCATTGCACAAACTTATTGAGCCATGCAAACCATATACTTCCTCCGTCCCAAAATGTAGCTACCTAGTACAGGATGTGACATTATCCAGTACTACGAATCTAAACAGCCTCCCAAAAATAGGAAATGCATTTCATACCAACCAAGAAAATAGTTCGCCTATAATAATGACTCAACTCATATATTCTATTTATATACAAATCAAAAAAAGAATTTAAAGAAAAAGTATATATACAACTCATATACTCTCTAAATTTCTACATCTCTTCTATGACAGGACCTGATAGGTTAGGGCAAAAATGCAACATGCTGGATAAACAAATACATGCTGGATTGAAACCATTTAAAATCAAGCAACTTGTTGATTTTTATCTTATTGCAGCAGCTACATTTTACAACTCGCGAATGGAAAACCTCAAAATCATTAGAAAAACTATTTTTATTGAGAAAATGATTACCTAAATAACCAACAGAAATCAGGAAATGGACCTAATAAAGTGGATACCCAGGCAGAATGTTTCCATTCAAATAAAAAAAGAAATATCTTGTACTTATAGAGCATAAAAAAACCCAACTATTACCGAGCAAGCACCTGAACAGCTCCCCTTCCATCAGTCCCAGCACCTCCTTTGCTCCCCTCCTAGCTTCTGTAAAAAACAATTTTGCCAATCAGAACTGATGTTAGAACAGCAAAAGAAAAAAAAAACTGAGAGAAGGTCATGGACCCATCCAAAAATAATAATAATATATGATTCGATGCTTCCAAATGGTTAGCCTTGGATCAATCATAAGGTTGAAACCGTAATGGTATGGTTGAAAGCACAACAATAGAATCAAATTATTTTACCGTAACCAAATTGTTGTGAGGCATATCCCTACGAAATCTGGAAGGGAACGCAAATTAGCTGGTGGACTAACAGAGGTAGATCAGGCTCGCTAACATCTAATAGTTTGCTCTTGCATCGTAGTCAAAATCAAATAGGCACAAGAAAAATAATGAACTGGGATGGAGAAGAATCAAACTTGCCGTAGAGCTCTAGAAACCGGACGTCAGGGCCCGGAGAGGACCGAGCGCGCTACAGAGACTGGCGGGGATAGTGGTCAGGCGGCGCGGCGGCGATTTGATGAAGTCCCGATGGAGAGCGGTCGGCGATGGGATCGGCGACCGCTTGATGCGGATGGCGACCGGCAGAGATGGCGCGAGGCGGCGAGACGGTGCTAGGGCGAGTTGGCGCGATGGGCAGAGGGGCCAGATGGGGTGGCGATGAATGCGCGAGGGCGAGCATCGGGTCGGCGGCGGTGCCGATCTGTGCGACGGCGAGGGCGAGCGTGGACTGGCGGCTGCTGGGGATAGGCGGCGACCTGGCGGAGGTGAATCGGCGATGGCGCGACGGCAGGGGAGAGATGAGGGCGTCCTGTGTCGGGGCGATGGAGAGCATGGCGAGCCGGCGCCCTTGACGATGGAGGATTGAAGGCCTCGGTGGCGGCGGCGGCGCACTTGACGACGGAGCGGGAGGGGAGAGAGAGGCGTGGATGCGGTACGGGATGCGGAGGAGGCGCGACGAATGCGGAAGAGAGGGAGATGCGGGAGAGGATGCGCGGTCGCGCCGATGCGGCGTCGATTGCGGCAGAGAGAGACGGGGGGTGCGGGAGAGGAGGAGGAGCGACACGCGCGCATCTGGGACGTACGATCTTAACTCATCAGATGATTTTACACCGTTAGATGTGTGATATGATCAATGATGAATGAGTAAAACCATTTGTTCAACTATAGGGTAGATTCATCATCATTATTCATCATTCATCATATCACACATCCAACGGCCTAAATCATATGCTGTAGAAACAACGATCTAGATCAGTCTCCCCTCCCCGCCTCCCCCTCTCTTTCTCCCATAACTCCCATCCCCCACCAACCTCGCGGCGAGATTCTCGCCCATGGCCCCTCAATCTCACAACCGCCGAAGCCCGCCGCCGGGTCATCCACCACGTCGAACTCCCGTCGCCAGGTCTCCGTCGGGTCCAGGTTGTCCGCCGCTCGCCGCCACGCCCCGCGCCGCCCCGAATTCCTGTCGCCAAGTCACCGCCACTTCCAGGTCGTCCGCTGTCCGCCGCTCATCGAAGACGTACATGATCCCCTCTGCCAGCACACCTGCACATAAGATCTGTGGATGCTGCCACAGCCCAGAGGTAAGCCACAGTCCTATGCACTGGAGGTTCTTGTCAAAATGCCTAGCCCAAGCATTAAGTCATAGATGGAATTCTGGTGCACCTATTTCTCCGTTGAATCATGTTGCATTAAACTTTCTACATTTGCATCAGTTCTCGATATATGTTTTGTTTTATTCAGAGAACATACAACGGTGGCATGCCTCATTTTCTAATTCATTTAACATTTTTTTCAGGAAGATCATGATCCTTTGAGTTTATTGGCCCTACTAGGCTCATGGTTGAGTTTATTAGTCCTACTAGGCTCATGGGCAGTACAAGTAAATCGTGTTATGTTCGTTCAGTTGTTCGGATCATTGGTAACTGTTCGGAAACTCATCAAGATTCAGCTTTGTACATTATGCTTATAATTCCAGTGGTTTGGTACGATTTAATTAACCTTCTGCTCATCATTGCAATTGGATAATTCATATATTAGCTAGCTCACATAATTGCATGTCTAAATTGTATGGTGTAAACTACCTTGAACTGCTCTGGGTTAGGGAATATTAATGTATGAATTTACATGCAGTGCAAGTAAGCATCTAATCCTATTACTATTGCCACTGATTATTTCGAGACAGCAACTTGCTCTCCAATTATCAAATAATCTGGTTCAGATGATACTCCTACTGTCCATGCAAGAAATCTAGGGTTAAGGACCAACTTGTCTTCCTAATGAACAAGGGCATCAGGAGATGATCACTGAGATACCTGTCCTATACAGGAGAGGCATAATAAGGTGTGACATTATCCAGTTGTCTTCTTTCAGGTATGTGCAACCTTCTATACTTTCATTTCCTTTGATCCACAAGGATTATCACCGTTTGTCCTTAGTAATGGTTTGTTAATTTCTGTAACATTTCAAATTAGCTGTTAAAAGAATACAGTTCTGAATTGATGAATCATGTTTTAAAGTGCCTTGTGAGTTATGACATTTTCAATGAATTCCTTTTTAGACATTCCCTGCGTGCTAATACAGGTTGAAGATTAATTTGTTGGAGTAGGTATGTGTAGAGCACAACGGCAATGAACTGCCATCCAAGGCAATGAACTTTGTAGTTTCTCTTTCACTCTCCAAATGCTATGATCTATATTACACTACAAGAATCTATTTAATCTATGATGAAAAAAATTCGTCATGTATCACTGAAAATTCGTCATAGGAATTTGTCCGTGACGATTATACTTATCGTCATCTATTGAGCGTCACAGATTAAATCTGCTGACGTTTTCTCCGAAATCGTCACAGATCAGCACAATCTATGACGTTTTTTAACCGTCATAAAACGCTTATGGGCTCGTGTAGTCTAGCCCAAGCCCAACCTCTGTGACGAAATTAAACGTCATGGATGGTTGCCATATGGAGGCCAACATGGCAGTTGACGTGGTTGTTTCGACACGTCTGCGATGATGTGTCACTGATGACGTGGCAGCTGACATGGTTTGTTTTGACACCTGTGCGATGACATGTCACTGATGACGTGGCTGCTGACATCAGCAATTTTTTTATACGGCCCATTATTTTTTTGACGGCCCATTAATTTTTAAACAACCCATTAAATTTTTAACTGGCCCATTTTAAAATAGGCCCATTTCAGAACTAGGCCCATTTCAAAACTAGCCTATTTTGTCAACCAACTATCAGATTAAAGCCCACTAAACATGCCCATTAAATTTGAGCCCACCAAATTCAATCCAATTTCTCATACCATCTCAGATTCAAACCAACACAACTCGACAAACATCCAATACAACACAAAATTTACAACACAGTTAACAGCCAAATCCAGTCACATTCCAAATACAATCACAGTAACCAAAATTTCACCAGATGTCGCATGACCAAGATCTTCCAAGTGAGCTTAGCAGCACTGCATATGCACAAGATAAAACATCAATAACTACCATATCATCCTAGTTTCTTCTACTGTTCAAGCAGTATAATAGATGAATAAAAAATATTCATGCAGTTACTGATGTCACGGACATGCTGCAATGTCAGGATCGGGAGGAGCTGTCTCCCTCTGCATGTTATCTCCACCTGCGCATCGCACATTTCTAAAATTTTCAGTTCATCTCAGTTTAGCATTTTGTAACAAAGAAACTAAGCATGCTCAGAGATCAGGCAAAACGATATATATATACTTTCTTTTGAAAGATGAATTGGATGGTTTCTGAATTCTGATGAGATTAACAAACAAACCTTCAATTTGATTACAAGTCAAGAATTATGTTACTGTGAGGTGAGGTGAGGTGAGGAATGCAAAAAATGCAAATTGCTTCTGGTGGAGAGTTAGACAGTGATAGATGTGAAGGACTTTCTCCTTTTCGGCAACAACAAACAACATATATTGCAGATCTTCAGAGCAGTACACTGCTGCTGTGGCTGTGTCTAAATGCCACCTATAAAGTTATACTAGAACTTTAGGTGCGCTTCGCGGCGCCCTACCGTTTGTTATTGGTAAATAGTATCACAAGTCAAAACATGTACTTATATTGGTAAGTGTTGAGTTCGTAAGAACCTTCATTCTAGCACAAGCTGTTACATAACTTGAATTCCGATGTAACATGATGATCTGAAATTGACCCTAAATACTGCAAGATAAAAAATCACCTAATAAGTTTAGAAACCACAACAATTTATCATACCCAAAAGAGCAATAAAAGTTATAATAATGTATTAAAAAATGGTTTAATCATTCATCCTCTTCTAAAAGAGGCTAATTCAGTTCCATTACAGGGCATGAATCACAAGTTGTAATGTGAAGTACTATGTTTGCAATCACTTAAGAAAATAAATATTCTTCAATCGCACAAGAGGGACTCTTAGAATTTGTATGCACCAGGTTTCTGATTTTCGTTGCTTGCAAAATTAAGTTGCTTGCAATCCTGGAAGCTGAGTAGACACTTACTGGTGTGTGTGCACGCGCGTTCAATGTGACATGGAGATTATTACAGACAGCACACTGTGGATATACACTGTGGATATGGTAAATCCCTTTTTACCCCTTTTCACTATGGAAATAATGGTTTTCACGCATGAGGGAGAGGCACCCTCAAATTTCCTTACTAAAGTAACATTTACAGGTGTAAAAAACAACCCTACTTCCTGTCCTGCTACCAAATAAATAGCCCAGTTCTTTCGTGAACTCTGAAAAGACACTGAAATGCTTTTGTACTTGCACGGTGGAAAAATTGGTAAACAAAAAGAACTGCCAGCCCTGGTTTCTTCCTGTTATCCCTTAATTTAAAACGAAAAGACTGACATCATGCTCACAAATTTCCAAAGATTGGGTATAAACTGAGACATCTTAAACTGCAATGCAACTGCCTAGCATAGTATAACATGAGAAAGCACAGCCACAAGTTTGCTAGATAGCCAAAAAAAACCACTTCACATGTTAGGAAGAAACATGCCCCTACAGTTTTGACATTCCTAAGCACCACATATGGTGGCAACCAATCCTTTTTACATGAATAAGATAAA